GGTATGTGTTCTATACATGTAAACAGAATCGGTGAATAGGCTCAGCTCTGCAGAACATCAGATCTGTGACTGCTAACAAAGCCTGTTAGATCTCCACTTGTACAGTTCCTCCCCCACCTAATGTGATGGCAAACGTGGCAGCTGGATGGCCAAGAAAATGGATAATGAATCTGTCAGAGATGAGTGGATGTCACGGGAGTCTGCCTTCCACCCCATCACAAGGCCGGAGTTCATAACACCAGGAATTGAGAGCGATCTCCCAGCATTGTGAAATACCTTTTTTTTCCGTTGGAGGAAAAGCCACTCTGGCAAGCGCTCTAAATAAAGGATTTCAGTGTCTGATTGGAATGGGATGATGAGAATAAACTGAGCTGTGGAAAATGAAAGGGAGCGGTTTCCAAATACAGGCCAATGACATTGTGCCTCAGCATCCACTTTCACAAGCTCAGCCCTGGCACAGCAGTTGTCACAATGACTGAAGAAAGTCCAGGAGCCGAGCTAGGTCAGCAGATTTACGAAGTTAGAGCTGTAGCCAGCACCCAAGCAGCACTCTGCCAAACTTTAGCCGACCCAGGGTGGCCATCCTTACAGGAAGGAGTTGAAACTAAAAGATGCACACTCCAGAACAATTATGCTACCTAAATGCTCTCCTCTAAGCTGTTTTTATCCCTCCTCTAAGTTGCGTTCTTCTCCTAGGTCTTTTAGGCATCTTTTTAGGATAGCTCTTGCGTTAGCTTTCAGACATTTGGCAAATCCTCTGGAGTTTAAATTAAATTAAATTGAGTTTACAATTGAGTTTTAGAGTTCCCTTTGCCCAATATAAGGTTAGTTATGAAAACCAGTGGTGAGGGCGATTTTCAGCACACACCATGGAGTGTTTGACTTAGGACAGTGCCTATTAATTCTCTATTCTTAGTCCATTGCTGTATTCATCATAGTAGAACAGGCACATGAAGTCCCTGCTTTCAGGAGGTTTAGTTGTTTATTAGTCACTTGTTTATTTGTCAGATATTTTTTAAACACTTATTATGTGCCAAGTAGCTTGACCCGTGTTAGGGATGTTACAATAAATAAGGCAAATGTGACTGCTGCTCCCAGGAGCTTACACTCCAGTGAGAGTGACAGAAGAATAAACAATTACAATACAGCCTAAGTCTAGAGCAAAGATAGTGTGGACTTCATCCTGTGGCTGGCCTTACCTCATGTCAGAGGAGCCCATAGGAAAGGCATTCTGGTGGGTCAGAGAAGGATTCAGATAGTTAATCAGCAGATGGTTTTTGAATGTCACCTAGGAGCCAGACACTGAGATTTCCAAGTTGACACCTGAATGGTAAAAATTATGCAGGTAAAAGAGGTAGAGTTATGTTCTAGGCATAAGGAACAGCTTAAAAGATTACACAAAGGCAAAGTTTGAACAACTAATTGTAGAATTGGTAGTGGTGCAAATAAAAATGGGGAAAGAACAAGAGATAGATTTCAAAGAGACTTGTAGGCCATGTTAGAGAGCTTGGACTCTATTCTGAGAATAAAGGGAAATTTTTCAATGGTTCTAAGCCAAGGTGACCAGGTATTTTTGTGTAAATGATCGTTTTGACTATTGTGATGAGATTGGGCTAAAGAAGAGTATGAGAGGAGGCAGAAAGGTCTCTATAGAAGCCATTGTAATAAACCAGATCAAAGATGATGATGATGTCAACAGGGACGTGGCAATGGCTAGAACTGTATGTATTTGAGAGGTATCGAGGAGGAGGAATTTCAGAACTGGGTGAGAGACTGAGTAAAGACAAATTAGATGTGATAGGAAAGGGAGTGGGAGTGGTCATTCTTGACCAGCTGACTAGAAGGTGATGCAATGTACTGAGAAAGAAAACACAGAAGGATGAGTAGGTGGGGGAGGGAAGCCAAATAATTCAGTTTGGGATATGCTGGATTTGACATGTTCAGGAGAGAGATCCGTGATGGACGTTACAGCACCAGGACTTATCCACATGTTGAGCAGATGATCTTCACCTAGTGATAATGGAAGGAGAGAGTTCTGTGGATTCCTATGGGTAACAGAGAATCTGAATCTCCTAAAATATTTCCAATTGTTTGAGTTTATTTTGCATGTTTTTACTTTTTTCTAGGGGAAAAAAATGATGCAAATTTGCTTTAGATTGCCTGTAACTCAAAAGTAGTTGAGGACCACAGAGGAAATTGAAGGGACCACCTGGATAAGAGTGCCCAAGGAGAGTCACTTAAGCTGACTATGCTGATCCAGACCCCAAAGAACAGCACATGAAGAGAACAACAGAAGAGGTTCTGAAAATGACCTTGAGAATCCAGTGGGGAGAGTGTGTCAGGGGAAATGGAGTGGTCCCACAGAGTCAAATCCCCTAAGGAGATAGATAAAACAAGGAAGGAAATCCACTACATTTTCACCAGGAGGTCATGGGTGGTCTTGGCAAGAGAGGTTGTGGTTAGTTGGAAACAGTGAGTGTGTGGGAGATAAGAAAAAGGAGATGGCAAGTGTAGAAAACTCAAGAAGGGGAAGGAGAGTGTTAAAGTGGTAGCGAGAAAAGAAGACTAGGGTACAAAGTAGATATTTTTCTTCCTTAAGATGAGAGAGAAGCAATGAGTAAAAATTCTAAAAGCAGAAGGAGCCTTAAGTAACAACCAACCAAACCAAACACACAGAAGTTTTTAAAGGAATCAGAAGCTTAGAGAGATAGGATGTCTACCTGATGTGATGTCTTTCCTGATATGATAGATATCAGGAAAGAGTAATGAATTGAGTTGAGCCTTGAATGATTAAAAATCTTTGGACAGGTGAAAATGAACCATTAATTGAAAGAAATATGGGAAAAATAAGACTAAATATTCATCTATTCTTCTTTCACTTCCTTTTGTTATTCAAAAATTATTTTCTCAGCAAATATAAAGTCTTTAGAATAGAAATTGCCTACAACTCAGAGACTGACTACCAGTATGAAAGTATTAATAGCTACAAGGTATATAATCCAATTTACAATTACTACTTGCATTCTTGGTCTTCACACATGAAACCAGCATATTCTTTGGGGTCACATTGTTCATTTCCTCATCTGGAATTTTTAAACACCAGATAGGGTGCTAAATCAGTATAAGCTGGTGCTTCCATCTCTTAAGTTTCTAACATCTTCCATATTTATAAACACACCCATAAATAAAGGTGCTAATGAAGGAAGGAGAAAGATTCTTTAATAAGCAGCTTAACGCAAGTAACTCCCTGCACGTAGGAGATTTTTACAAGACCTAGCTCATAATTAAACACTGTCTGTTTTACTTAACTGAATTTTTTCTCTTTTTAAAAGATTGTATGAATGTTAAAGACTCTGTTTACGTGTTGATGTTGAATGGGTATTGTTTAAATGGTAGCCTTTCAGCTTATTATAATTTACAACTATACAGAGGGCAGAGTGTAGTTATAAGTACTATGAAGTGTAGTCGACCCCTGAGGAAGCTGAGGCTTGGTCTTACCCAGGAAGGTTTGAGTGGGTGGCTATTGCTTTAGGGGCTACACCTTTTAGTTAGAAGAGAGCCCAGCAGCCCTCAGGAATAGTCTTAGCCATTCCTTTGTTTCCTTGCCGTAAGTACGGGTCAGTGTTCCAAACAGACCATTAGTGCACAAGAAAGAAATTTGGATGTTACTGTACACACATTATAGAGACCAACAGCAGTTGTTAAAGAATCTTATTTTCCTAACTAAGAAAGAGTATTGTTACTTTTCCCCATTCATGACATCTGCCAAAAAAGAAAGCAAATGTAAAGCACTATAATACTTCTTCATTTTTATGAAACTTGACTTTCTATATTTTTGTCCTAGTTCCTAGAAAGGGCCAGACTAGTTTAAAAATGCACACACACACACACATGCGCGCACACACACAGACACACACACACACACACACACACTTTCGGGTTCTGACCCTGACAGACCTTGGCCCTTTACCCCCAGGTCTGGGTATCAAGTCCTTTCCTTTGTGTGGACACATCTCTTCCCACATACATTGTTCTGCCCTCTGGTCATGGACATTCTGTTGACCTAGGCTTTATTTCTCCAGAGGATGTGGCTCGTACTTTGTATCTTATAAGTTATAACCTGCTACCTCAACAGATATCAAGTTGGCCTTTGTAGTTTTACAGTCAGAGACTTTGGATATGGGAATGTATTTTTGTAGAAATTGCACATTCCATTGTTGCCTCTCATATATTACAGCATTATTCACAGGCACCAAAGGGAAGGCCTTAGCTAATGACCTCAAACCCCTGCCACACACAGGTTTTCATTTTCTAGTATTCGAAGCGTCTTTTTTCCTGAGTCCTTTGACCCATTTATGAGAGACCTTTGTGATTATTTTATGTGAGTAGGAAATCTGAGGATTATTCAGGTTACTTAGAGGCCTTCGTGGAAAAACTCTTCTGCCTGAGGAATGTCATTTCAGAGCCCAGAATGAGAACATCTGTTTATAACCGCTTGGGGTCTATAAAATAAACCTGAATAGCAAATTATCTCAATAGTTATATTTCTTTTTAAACAAATAAGAGTAGTCCTTCTGGTTTAAGGAAAAACAGAAGATGACATTGTTCTTCAAAGCCAGATGTATTGTAGATTTGATAATAGCACAGAAAAGCCTCTCACTAGTGGCAATATTTTGGATATCTGTTGGGAAATCCCTGATTTCAGAGCACAGTTTCCTTAGGTGAGCGTCAGACCCCACCTAACTGACTTGTATTAAGATTCCTCAAAGTGTGGGATGAGGTCAGGCTGTATCATAATCCCTCCCCTACCCCTACCCCCAAGGACACTTGTTTAAAAGATTCGGAGGGTCAGGCCTGCAAATCTACATTTTACTAAGTCTTTAGGGAGCACTCAAGCACTACGGGCTGTGAGAGCCGCAATCCTAGAAGACAGATGGATAAAGCCTCAGTGATCACCAAGACAACTGGACTTAATGAACTCTTGTCTCTCCTCTGCCTAGGTGCAAATGTAATCTCCATGCCACTGTGTGTGTGTATGACAACAGCAAATTGACCTGTGAATGTGAGCACAACACTACAGGTCCAGACTGTGGGAAATGCAAGAAGAATTATCAGGGCCGACCTTGGAGTCCAGGCTCGTATCTCCCCATCCCCAAAGGCACTGCAAATACCTGTGAGTAACTTTTGCTCGGTAATACCATATTTTGTGCACGATGAGCTGAGAGTTCCTCTCAATTTCACTTGCAATTGTGCTTTCACTCCTCTTACCAGGAGTCCCATTCCTCTTCAAAATGCAGCTAAAGCTTTCATCCCTATTTTGCCACTTGTAAGCACATTTTAGCACTTGGATCATCTGTTAAAGTCAGTCTTCCAACATTCACATCAGTGTGTTGGGAAATGATAGAAACCACAGGAGAAATTTTTTCTAAGTGGATGAAACAGGAGCTGCTTTTTTTGCTTCCCCAAATTAATCTCCTATTAAAATAACAAAGGCATTCAAAACTCCCAACTCTGACTTAATTTTAACCATAAACTACTTCCAGAAATTCTCTAAATATTTACAATCCCATTTCCCATACTGGGTAACCTAAGAGATGCTTTGTCTAGAAGATGTTTCCCTCTCCAAATTTAGCTACAGCCTGACTTTGCTCAGTGAAATGGTGGGCTTTTTCCAAATGCCAGCAGTTGATGTCACGCCTGGCGTGTATCCTGTTAGGAGAGGCTGCCTTTCGATAAAGAGTGTGACTGTAGGCCTGTAGGGACCACAGTAAGAAAAGGGATGTTTGTGTGCATGTGAAAAGAGCACAGGCATTATCTGTGTTCACAGGAAGCGTGAGAGATGCCCCGTTATCACTCATGTGGGTGCCCCTCTGAAATCCCTGAACATTCCTAGGAAAACAAGTTCTGACACGCTCAAGAAGACAAGTAATTACTTCCAGAATAAATTGCCCAATTCCATGCATGGACCAATTAGCCACTCACAAAAGCCCAAGGTTTGACCTCTCTTAAAAGTAGAGAAGGGTGAGGTTGAGAATACACCCATTCAAGTGAGAAGTAACAGAAACAGCAGGACAGTGAGTAGTGGGGGAATGAGACCTTGAAGAGCCACCAGCTCCATGCAAGGCTAAGAATGTTATCAGGCACTTCAAAGCAGCAGCTGTGAGAAACCAAACCTCAGAAACTAATAGCCAGGAACCAAGACCTTATCAAGTTAAATGTAAAGTAATGGACCAAGTAACAGGCCATAAAGAATGGGGGCATGAAATGATGTTAAAATTTCTATGAAGCAAGAAAAAAAACCTGTCAAAGGCTAAAAAAAAAAAAATCCCCCTTTGTGAAGGTATTCCGTTTCTTTCTGTGTTAAAGAAAAAATTGACAGCCTAGCTCCTAAAATTAATACATAAAGTTCTGTTGAGCAGAAATGATTTTTTTTCAAGGCGGTTTTATTAACAGAGACTCCATGGGCTTTCCTCAATTGTTGAGAGCCATAGACTCGTGAATTCAGGAGGAATCACATGAGGTTATTTGTTGCCATACCCTGTGACTAGCTAGAATTCCTATCACCACAGTTGTCAAATTTAGTTTAAAGGTTTCCTCAAATGAAAATGACTCAGATTTCATTCTTGATGTCTGCTGCTCCTTTAGTGGGACAGGATGGAAGAGAACAATGTTTACAAACACTTGGTGGCATTCCGGCTCATCCTCAGGGCAGGCCAACTTGTCAGGGCTACTAGAAAGGCAGCTGGGAGAGACTGCTGTTGAAGGCATTGGCTTCTATTCTAACACGACACCGTTTTTTTCTACCCATAACTGTACCTCAAAGTCTTGCTTATTTCAAGACATTTTCACTGGAAAGACCTTGTGCCAGCCAAGCTTTTTCACTGGAATGGATTTCTTGTTATATTCTCCATGGAAATGGCTTACATAGCCCTAATATAATGCAACCTCTTTCAATTGTCCATGTGGATTCTATTGTCTATCCATCCCTTAGTTTTTCTTGGCCTTCTCTAGACTTTTCCCCATTTCTGTTAAAATATGAAGGTGACAGATGGACACAACGGCCAAGGAGGTTGAATTCAACGTTTCAATCCTCAATATGGCCGAAGCCAGATTGAAGATTTTAAGATAACCTGCAATGGTCCAGTCTTGCAATGGAAAGAACCCCTTTAAAGAAATCTCTGCCACATCAGACTGCTTGCAAATGTCCAAGGACGGAAGTAGGCAATTAAGTGGTTTAGTACACAGGTTCCAGAATCAAATACCAGTTTGTCCATTCACTAGCTCAGTGACCTTGAAAAAGTAAAGTATCAATATTAACCTCTCTAACACTTGGCTTCCCATCTGTATTGTGAGGATAATAACAGTTCTTACCTCATAAGGATTTTGAGAGAAGTGAATAAGCTAATGCATGTGATGTGTTTAGCATAACACCTACCACAAAATAAGTGTTCAAAAATAATTTTATTTTTAGGCTTTTTTTCATAAGGCAGACTTGTCAATTATTGGACAGTTTTAATTGTTATAAAACTTATTTCTTAACATCAATATTGAGTGTCTCCTAATTTCCAACCACTTTTTCTTTTTAAGTCTTAAAGCTCTATATCAACCCCAGTTTTCTTTCTTGTCCAGGTTAACATCATCAGTTCCATTTCTCATATAATAAGATTTTCAACTCTCTTACCTAGTTATTTGCCCTGGAAGTCCTCTGAATTTTTAGTGTGGAAATTTAAGCCAAACTCAGGACTTCTAGCACTGTTATGATTTTCCTGTCATTTTGGCTTTTTCTTACACACATGTATACATGCACACACTCACGTGTGCACGTGCCCACACATACATGACTCGAGTTGGTACATTACAAGTCAGATATTAAGAGGGACACTCAGGATATGCTGTATCCTAATACAGGAATAAAAAACCTAAGAAGTAAAAAGGAGTGGCTACGATCTCTGATCCCTCAACACCAACTCTTCAGTAGCCTAGAAATAACACTCATATTGGATAATCTCTGGATTTAGCAGAACTTCAAGCAGCCAGGATTTTTGAATAAGAAGATCAGTTCCTGCCTACTCTTAGCATAAAAACTAGGAAGGCTTCATTACATCAGGAAATTTTAAGATCTCCCTTCAAAACCATTCAGCCCATCACTCAAAAGTTCCTTAAACTGGGACCTTGCTGGGAATACTACGGCTTGGAAGTCCTAAATTCTGGAGCAGCTCCAAGGCCACTTTTGTATGGAGCATATAGAGCCAGGAGAGAAGAATACAGAGCCCCAGCCCTCTAAAACACCGCCACCCCAATCTGTGAGACACACCACATTTCCCCATGCCTTTCATTATAATAGACTCGGCAGAAGCAGAAGTAATAACTCTTGTGATGATATTTTTATTCATTGTGCTTTTTACTGAAGACTCAGTGTGTTTTCTTGGTTCTTTAAAGCCATATGTATGTGTATCAATATATTTCTTATTTTTCTACAAAGCTTATGTTTTTTCTGTAAGACATCTTTCTTCGTCTCCCTATTGATCTTCATTCTATTTTTGATAGAATTCTATTTTGAATGTCCTTTGAATTTCATTTCTGTTTTCCAAGTAGATAGAAACTCTGTCCAACTTCATGCTTAATCATGATTCTCTTGATTCCCCTTGTCTAGCTCATAAATAAAATTCTGATCCCTCTTGAAATAATGATCCCTACTTATAGATGCTGAAAACTTAACAATTAACCTTTAGGAATAGTCATTTCAAAAAAGGTAATATAATATTGTCTATACCTCTGCTTGCCAAACTGTGTCCTATGACCCTTACAAGGATTCCATGGCCAAATAAGTTTGGAAAATGCTATACATTATACTGACTCTTAGATATTCACATTACCTTATTAAAAACATTTGAGAACCCTAAAATAAGTAATCTATTTTATCATGTGTTTCCCACACTTTATTGTTCATGGAACACTTAAAAACCTTCTATAAAACACTCTTGGGGACATTCTGCTGTAAATAATTTCCTCAGCTTTCTGATAGAAATGTCATGGAGAAAAGCCCAGCTAGTTCAGCTGTATTGAATCTTTTACTTTCCTCTTACCTACACAGTCTAATATTCTTCCAAGAAAGAAAATTAAATTGGTCTGACATTGACATTATTTGTTCAGAAATCCGACTTGAATTGTTACACAATATCTAGGTCTCCTCTGAGCGATGGAAAGTAATTTAATGATTGTTCTATTATTTTCTCTGGTATCAAATTTGCATTGACCAATTTATATTTTCCCAGGCGTACATGTGTATGTCATTATCCAGACAATTTCCTAAGTGCTTTACACGCATTAGTTCATTTTTAACTCACAACAATTTTATAAGGTAGATGCTACTATTTTCACGTTATAGAGGTGGAATCTGATGACTACTAAGGAAAAGTATCTTGTTTAAGGTTTAGCTACCTAGTCAGAATGAGAAGGAAGGTTTGAACCCAGGTGTGTCTTGAGCCCAAAGACTGTACATCTCACTATATGGTTTCTCAGGTTAAAGTTCAGTGACTTCCTCTGTCCTCCACTGGGGTGTGGACTCCATCTGACACCTGTTGAAACAAGTCGGTCTTCTCTAAACCTGCTCTCTCCCACTTTTCTTCCTAGATTGCTGCTTGTTATTTCTTTGCCTTCAAAGACTCCCCTTCTACCTTGTTTTAAATTTTCATTCTCAGTGTACAGTTTTCTTCCTTGATATTCCTATCTAATCTTGTGGTTTTAGATCTTATTAATATTGGTTTAATGCTAATAAACAAATTATAGCCTGAATCTTTCTAATGAACCCAGGCCATTTTTTTCAACTGTCTATGAAAATCTCAAAGTCAACATTGCAAGATACTGAATTCATTTCTTTTCCCCAAATCACCTTTTTCTTCACTCTCTATTGAAATTCTGCTCATTTTTCAAGACTCCTCCTCAATGTGAACTCCTCGATGCAGCCTACCTAGACTGTCCTATGCAAAATCAGCTGCTCTTTTCTTGATAATGTATGTATATATATCAAGATAGATTCTTGGTAATGTATGTGCACTTACAATTGGTTGACTATAATCAAAATTACCATGATAGTGATAATAATGATAGCTAATATTTATTAAGCTTACCATAGCCTTTTATATTTTGTGAAGTGCTTTATGTACTTTCTTG